TTCGTAGTTCATTGTTCATTCAGTCAGCAGCACAATTACTCTACACATGAAATCAATTTATCGTCTTTGAATGCGACAAAAGTGATTAGTTTCGGTATATGTTTAATCGCAATGGAAGAAAAGATTTAGAAACAAGAGAAAAGGGATTGTTTTAGATTATCTATGTTCCTTAACCTAAACAGATATTTGACACTAAGGATGGTATTTTTATTATAATTATAGTGGAAGAATTTATGCTGAAATGGCATGGCGAAAGCATTCAAAAAGCCATGCTTGTCACTCACTCAAAGGAGTTTGTTTCTGCAACTATTTATTGGTCGATAGGAATACGGTTTTCTGATTGTTCAGAAAGTGCTCCTTCCACAAACATTTATTTTGCTGAAGACGGCTAACATCTCAATATGATCCACACTGACATTCAATCATGAAGCCATCGGTCAGCGTAGTATTTGAAGCATTGCATTAATCTTGTCACCTATGCTTCCGCTTTCGGTACCTGACCTTGAGGCCACTGAAAGGGAAAGACCTTGAGTTCAATCAAAGCGCATCCTTGATAATATTCTGATAATCCCTTTATTAATTGAGGTTATTGTAGGTAAGCGTATATGGATATGTGTATATGTATGCGGGTTATGTATATGTTTGTGTAGTAACTTTTGTAAAGTTAGAATGAAGCTTACTCGAAAAGCTCAAGGTTACTTAAAAGCTTAAGTTTTGAATTAGTTGCTGAACACTTAGACACGTTATAGCTGCTGAGGAAGTTTTCTGTAATGTCAACTATGATGCTTTCAGCTACTAAAGAACAAAGCTCAAAAAGGTGTTCCACTGTTGTAAAGAGTTGCATGCAGGCAAACTTGCTCTTGACAAAGTGCAAATTCACAACGATACGCTCGAAATGGGTGGTCTACGATGAACTAAATTAAACACAGCTTCAATTGCCTCAGGAGCGGCTTTCATAATAGAAAAATGCTGCGTAAGCATTTTCTTACAGCTATAATTAGCTAGAAAGTTTCTCGCAGTCTCCTAGGAGTAGAAGTTTTCTTTCTTAGACCTATTAAGTACTTTTTTAATGTTGTAGTATTGTACAAAGTAGTATAACATGTAAAATTATTTGAGTATATGCTAGGAATGCACGACTAATAAAAAACAATGTAGCATGATTCGAAAAAGTTGCAGCTCAGTAAA